AGCAACTCATAATGAAATTACAAGTATTGAATTGATGAAATACAATGAAATACATAAGAAGATAATACCACAACTCCAAAGCTATGGTGGATAATGGGATCCCCAAGTGTAGAACTTCTCCCAAGACCAAGGGGTTGATCTTGGAGTGCTAAAATGGAAGTAAAGTGTATGGAATATGGAAATAATCACTTGAGAGGGCTCCCATATGCTTAAATATTGGGTCTTCAACGGCCATTTTTTGACAAGGAAGCAAGCTCCTTAATGGGGTTTGGAGCTTCTCTCGAATGATTGTGATGACCGTTGCCTGTTTTAATCAGTGCCAGACGAAAACCGGGCGACATTCGCAAAAGCCGGGCGGCTTTTGCGCGTTTAAAATACTGCTCATCCGCTCCAGGGGTCGAAAACCGGCCGCCATTTACAAAAGCCGGACGGCTTTTGTAATTAAATTCCGAACTATTCTTTCGGCGACCGAAAGTCGGCCGGTGTTCACGAAAGCCGGGCGGCTTTCGTCCTTTCTTGCTCCGGGTCAGATTTTTTTCAGCTTTGGATGAGAAAATAAGCTTGGGGACCAAAGGCCGGCCGCCTTTGGCATAAACCGGGCGGCTTTCGTCTGTCTTGGGCCTTTTTGTGGTCTTTATTTGTTCCTCGGGATGCGTTTGGTTGACCTTTTTCCGTCGGTTTCTTCGTGTGTATTCTACCATCCTTGCATTTGATCCATTTGTTGATTTAAAGAACTTCTAGCAAAACGAGGCATATGTGTGAAGATTTAATTCTTTTAAGTATAAAAGCGTTTATAAATGATTGTGTAAAACACGTTAATAAAACGCTTATCAGCCATGTTTGGTAAATGGCGTTTCCGCCACTTTTTGGCGGATTTGACCAGGTTTGGCTTTTTTGACCAGTCAAAACGCTAAAATGAGGTGTTTGGCAGATGGCGGTTTTGAATAGCGTTTTGGTTCGAAACGCCAAAAAGTAAAACGCTAGAAAGTGTAGCGTTTTGGGTTGGCAGATTCTAATTACATACCTAATTCTCACTCCTACCCTTTCTTTCTTCAATTTCATAGGTCTTCCATGAACTAATCTCGCGACCTTTGGCAGACCTGCCGTTTTCTTCTTCCGGCCATAAACTAATCTGCACAGCTTCGTTATTTTATGCCAGCCATTATAGATTCCTATTTCATCATTACATATACATATCTCGACATATATAGATTCGTATTTTCTTATGTATGTCGGCCATTATATATTCCTATTATATGGGTGCTTTAATTTAGTGCTTTCTTAATACTTCATTATGTGGGTTATTTGTGTATATATTTATATACAAACCATTTGATGTGACGTTTTAGGCATATCTCAAGACTACTGTTGATCTAATATACGGAGTATTTTTTGTTTATTGTATCTGAATTTTTGAATACAAGGATGTGCTTACAGCTTACATGAATACATGGTGCTAATTATTGGTATTTGTTTATTATTTGTGTTAATTATTATTGTTCGTATTTGTTGTTATATGATAATGTCTTTTTTGTCTTTTTATCTATTAACCGCTAAAAACAAACAGTTAATTTACCAAACATCTTTCTTTAATTCGCCAAATTGATCCGCCGGTCAAACCCGCTAACTCAATCCGCTATTCAGAACCCGCTGACTCTATCCGCTAACCGCTAACCGCCGATTGCCGAACAAGCCCATATGTTTCGGGTCTACTCTGTATAATATTATTAAGACCGGGCCTAAACCGAACAAAAGAGCATAATTAAATGTAATGTGCAGTATGTTAGTTGTTGTAAAGTGCTAGTACCATTTTATAAGATATTTTTCATATTCATTTGATCAATACAAATCACTCTTAATCTCTTACTTTATACGATAGTATATCGAAATTTTATGAAATTTGATTTTTTTTGCATGCTTTGTAGCAGTTTTAATGTAGTTTCTGAATATGCAAATTTGATTTCCTAAAACTAATTTGAGTGTTGACAGGGATCAATTTACTTTATCGTCGGTCAAACTTCGTAAACCTTAAAGTGCCTTATAATTCGGGATGGAGGGAGCATTTTTGATTTGACATAAAATAAAATTCGAAATATATGAGACCAGAAGCTACTCCGTATTGCAGTATATATGGGGCCTAGTTAGCTTTTTTCCGTTTTAAACGCGTTTTAAACACGTATTGTTTTTTTGACCAAAAAAACACGTTTAAAAGGGGGGGGGGGAATGTCTGTCCGTTTAAAAAGGAAAAAAACTTCTACTTCCCGTATAAAACGTATTTTTCCCGTATTTTACAAAAAACATAAATATGAATTGACCAATTGAATGAATGCACTAAATGCATAGAAGATCAACAATAGTGTAAAAGTAAAAATGACAACGTCATCCCCATGATCTCGTGTTTTTGTATTGTTACAGTGCAATTATTAAATACTAAAATTAATTGCATGATGGCTAAAGCTAGCATCCCAAAATACTAAAACTTACGTAGTAATATACTACAAGATTTCTGATGTTTTTTCAAGCTAGCATATCAAAATTAAGATTTTTCTAAACCTACCATTTTTTAGCATAAACGTTTACACAAACAATAATAAGTGTAGCAATCACACAACTTTTGTCATATGTCATCTGTCATCTTAATGAAAATGATGAGTACGAGTATAACTTTAGTGTTATTTGATAATCATATAAAGATAATGATTTTTTGACATTATTTTTTCAAAATTATGTCTTGGACTTAATTACTGTTTTTGTTTTTGTCATCGACTTATGCAATTACGAACTATTCTTATACGTAGTAATGAGGAGTAAAAAGTAATGGATTTCATGAAAACACATTTTTTTGGGAAATTATGAAAAGTAACGCCACCTCGAAAACGCCCTTACGGCTCTAACTGTGGCTCTTGATCTCGCCAAGTACAACAAACTATCGAAGAGGAGCTTCACCAGCCCGCCGCCTCGTTAGACTTTGATGACGACCTTCTTGTTGAACTTACGTGGATGATCGAAGTGCCTCATCGTTGACGGAATGGCGGTAGCGGGCCGAGATCTGGTCCCCAACCATCGAGCGCCTGGCTCAGCGTGCAGTCACCCTCCAGTTCGGCTGGGTCCACGTTTCTTCCAACCCTCTCGGCAGCATTACAGACCTCGTAAAGAAACTCTCCAAACTCAGGGCATGTTTGGTAACCACGACAACGGCTTAATAGGCTTAAAAGACTTAAAAGACTGAATGCGCTGAAGTGAAAGTGTTTGATAATATGCTGACTGAAATGGCTGATTGAGTGTAAAATTACTGTAAAGGGTATTAGATATATGGGTGTGTTGCTTGTAAATTAAGTTTTCTTGATTATAATTAGATGAGTATAAAACTACTTGATTAATTATTACTTTGGATTTTTTTTACACATTAGTATTACTTTTTGTAGAAAAATGAGTAAATTAATTTTAAAAATACACTTTCCATAAAGTATACGGATATTAAAAGCTCACATACACTTAAATTAAAATAAAAGCAAACAAAAAATACGGATGAGTATTTATTGGAGTTTGTTTAAATTTTACTTCAAAGTCAAAAACAATAAAATATACGGAGTACCCCACTACTTCACAATATATACGTGAACAAGTTTGTTTAAATTATAGGCAATAATTCAGTATAGAAGGGAGAAGCAGGTCTTTTTAATCTTCAACAGTGTAATAATAAAAAACAGACCAAAAAGTTACTATTATGTTGTTTTTCCGGGTGATCATAAAAAACAACTCAAGTAGCCAATTCAGCAAATGTTTGGGATCTTTTTTCTGCTTTCAGGCTTATAAGCCTATTTCGAGAGCTCCAAACGGCCTCTCAGACATTAACTCGAACCGTTTGAAAATGTCCGGTTCAAAAATGTCCAGGTCAGCTTCACTTTCTCATTATTTGACTTTGACTTCAAAACTATCCATCCACTGCCGCATTATAAGATGTACACACCATAATAAATAGGTTAATAAATAAACATTTCTCTCTCCATTTTTTCCCTACCAAAACGAAGTTTTTTCAAAAACAATCTATTCAAATACTCCGTATATAGGATATATAGATAAAATCTACAAATAATAAGGAAATAATTATTATTATTATTATTATTATGTTTTATTCTCAAAATAGGATCCTCTTACTCTCTTAGTGCTTTTAAAGACTTAAACCTCCTTAATTAAGAGTTAATTAGTTGTATTATACGAAGTATTTAATCGTCTTTTGGCATATTTGGAAATCCTATTCCAATGCTATTTGGGGTTCAGGGGAGTCCCATTTGAATTCGGAACAGATTATTCTCAACATTAAATTATATACCCAAAAATGGGTATATAGCTTAACTGATCTGAAGGTTCGGTATGTTGGAGACATCTTATATATACTCAGAAAATCTAATCCCTGACGGCTTCAAGTTGAAGTCAGCAGGTGTACAGATTGTAAGGTGGCGAAAACCTACCCAAAATTGGAAGCTGAATGTTGATGCAAGCTTTTCTTCCAATCGAGCAAGTGGTGGTGCTATGGTGAGAAATCCGAAGGGAGAGATGATCCTCTACAGGTGTCCTCGGCGCTCGATGCAGACATAAAGGCTTTGGCCTTTGCTATTCGTTGGACGATCGATCAAGGCTTTCAAGGAATTCTGGTTGAATCCGATTGTATGAAGGGAGGTTGTGGTATCTGAGAGTAAAAATATTTTGAAATTTCAAAATATGACTATCATGTTATTTATTCCCTAAATAGGAGTAAATTTAGGATTAAACTTCTGTCAAGTTTGACATTACTAAGCTTTAAACATAGCATTTTGTTCCAAACTTGGAAGATTACTTCTATTCAGAGAATAAAAAACATGATAGTCTTATTTTGGAATTTCAAAACATTTTTACACTTTTTTAGAACAATTTCTGATTTAAATGCTATAACTACATACGGAGTACATGAAAGAAACGACTATTTTTTTTTTGGTTGGGGTCATATATGAAAGAAACGAGTTTAGCAAAAATCCTATGTACGGAGTATATGTACGTTAGAACTGTGTGACTTGTATGATGTGTTCTACAAACTTCAACCAGACACGATTTGCATAATATCAAAAAAGAATAAACTTACAAACTTCAACCAGACACGATTTGCATAATATCAAAAAAGAATAAACTTACAGAAGTCGTAATACACAAAAAAAATGCCAAATGTACAATACCAAGATTGTAGCTTCAGAACCATCAGGATAAAAGGTTGTTAATTCAAACGCAAAAAAAAACTGAGATTATGAAATTACTAACTAGGTTAGGGACAATAATGAACGCCAATTGAGTCAACAAGCCAACCGCAGCGCCCATGTAGTCCAACAATCTTCCCACCCTTCTCAACCACATACTCGAACGGTGCACCATCATTCGAGCCATATGGTCCATATACATTCAAGTTGGTTCGAAATGCGATTGATTTTATCACAACGTTAGGAGAGAAAAACCCGTGCGTTCCGCTTATTCCAATCAACCTCTCCGATGTTCCATTGATATTTACCTACATAAGGAAAACTATTAGCCACCCTAGCTAGGTTATTACAAAAAAGTCATAATAAGTTAATAACAACCCAAGTAATATTAATTTTCTTCACAAAGTAAAGTTTGTTTAATTTAGAGTTTTTTCCACTTTTAGTCCTCCGACTATTATGTCATTGACATTTTTGGTACTCGACTTTGATTTTTTTCATTTTTAGTCCTTGACTATTGCGCTAAAGACACTTTTGGTACCCGTCTTTGAAAATTTCCATATTTTGTCCTTCAACATTCATTAAAGTGACACTTTTGGTCCTTCAACTATTATAATAGTGACATTTTTAGTCCTCCACTTATTGTGTGAAAATCACAATGAGAGGACCAAAAGTGTCAATTTGACATTACTCAGAGACTAAATGTGGGAAACCTTAAAGTCGGGGATTAAAAGTGTCTTTAGCACAATAGTCGAGGACTAAAAATTGAAAAGTTAGAAGTCGAGTACCAAAAATGACATTGACATAATAGTCGGGGGACCAAAAATGACAAAGACTCTTTAATTTATTTCAAAGAATAAAATCATACAAATTAAAAAGTATTGATTCGTAATTTACAAATAGATATATATAAGGCCAAATACATAAACAATATCTTATCTATTGGTGTTGTTACATTTTTTATACTTTAACCTTTAAATTCACAAAATCAGTATCATAATTACACGTAAATGTTACAAATGTCAATATTATTCAAATTTCCGACTAACAAATTATACACGGTGGCCAAAATTCCATACTTAAAGATCATTTACATTACTTCTATCATGTCATTACTCAACATCGGACTTCATGTATGAAAATTTTGGGCATCACGTGAAAATTCGTCAGAAATTCGAATATTATTGTCGATTGAAACGTTTACGCATACTTATGATATTCATCATTTAATGTATTTATGTAAGAGTTAATCAAGATGATTCAATACAAGAATATAAATATAAATAATTAAGGTCTCTATGCAACAATATAAATAATTAAGGTATCTATACTAAAAAATGCTATAACCTTGTTGGAGGAATTCGCCGGATAAACCTGCAAAAAATCGTAGAAAATAATATAGCTCGAGTCGCGTAGACGTTGTCCTCAAGAAAGTATTTCCGACTAGCGAAAACCTTTCCCCAAGATAAAACGAGCTCTTCGGCGTAAGCCGGCAACAGAATAACGAGAGTAGAACTAAAATTAATCCAGCAGAGTGAAAATATTAGGGGATGTTCTTCTCAAAATAATCTTCTCCTCCTACACTAGCAGGTCTGGCCGATGAAGTTTTAAAGGCCAAGGAAAAATTTTTATCCTCCATTCCTTAGCACAAACATGCATACTTATAAAGCCATCTGAAAAAGTTGAACGTTGCTCTATTATTACTATTAAATAATAATATAATCAAAACCACAGCTCATGCAACCGTTTTTATAGAATTGAAGCTCAATAGAAAGTGTCATTAATGCATACTTTAATGTTTATTAATAATCAACAACAAACCATCAAAAGTTGCAACGTGCAAAACAAAACGTTCAAAAACTTGTATTCATTATAGTTATAATAATAATTTTATAATGTATAAGATGTATAACATTTGTTAATAAATCAATATGTAAACAATTAAAATAAATAATATTTTATTCATTTGAAATACTCCTATTTTTTCAACAAACCTCACTGGTTTTATAAGCTCCACGTGGACCACATCCTCCAACTTTTAAAGTCTTTAACAGACCGTCTGGCTTCAGGGTAATGAAGCTCAAAGATTCAACAACCTCACCATTAACAATAGTAATCTGTTTTAATGCACCATCAAACTTGTAATCCCAAACAGTTCCTCCAGGTCCTCCCCAGGCTGACAATTTAACACTCTTAGCGGAAGATGGAGGCGAATCTGATCGAATAATACAATTAATTAATACAAGAAAACTAAACCAAAATATACGAAGTACTACGTAATAGAAATATGAAAATATAAAAATGTACTAACAAAATAGCATTGAAAATCGAGGACCTGGAACATTGGGAAGAAAAGATGATAAGTCAGCTTCCACGGGACTAGAGTGAAACGGACAGAGTTTTTCTCTGAGTTTAGAGAGTTTCTGGGTGAGCCCTTTAACGGCCAAAGGCTCTAGACCAGGTGGAATCCAGCCGCCGGCCGGCTGGAGATTGACCGCACAAAGGGCCAAACGCTGAATTATAGGCGACCAGATGTCGGCCCTCTTCCTCCCCGCCGTCGTTTGTTGGCCGTCTGCGAGGAAACCCTTCAACCAAGTCAGTTCGATCAACAGGTCGTCCACCGCGCAAGGGCAGTATTGGTTAAGCTCGTCGTTCAACATTGACAGTGCCTCATCTACAGCGGCTATGGCCATTTCTGTCGATAGTTGCATTTTAGTCTATTCGATTGAAGAGGGAAGCAAAGGCGCCCAGAGACAAGTTCAATTCTGAATCGTGGGAGGGAATGAACGGATAAATCTCCGCCGTTTGTCTTTATTGACAACGCAATGCCTTCTTGCTTGAGGCCGTGGGAATTATTAAATACAACCAATTAATTATCTATGAGAACTCGGGTACCCATTTAAAAAAAGATACTGTACCTACCACTCATCTCATTGGTCCAAATATATATATATATATATATATATATATATATATATATATATAAAGAGAGTATATAGAGAGAGCTATTCCTGTCCGGAATTTCTGGACAGAAGCCCCGTCCGGCCACCTCAATTTGAGGTGGTTTCCGATTGTATTTTTGACTCACATTTTTTGTGTATGTTCCTCATCAAGTCTAGTTCATCCATACCAAATTTTAGCAAAAAAATCAATCGAAAAGGTCTTCAAATAATTTTTGCAAGTTAATTGGTCCGGAATATGGTATGGATGAACTAAAAGTCAAATGATTAATGATTAATGATTTTTAAAAGTCAAATGGTATATATTCCGGACCAATTATCTTGCAAAAATCATTTGCCGACCTTCTCGATTGAATATTTTGCTGAAATTTGGTATGGATGAACTCTATACAAAAATCATTTGCCGACCTTCTTGATGAGGAACATACACAAAAAATTCGAGCAAAAAATACCACCGGGAAGGCCCCCAAATGGAGGAGGCCGAACGGGGCTCCTGTCCGGAATTTCCGGACATGAATATTTGTGTGTGTGTGTGTGTGTGTATACATATACATATATACACACACACACACATATATATATGTATATATGTATATACATACATATATAGGGAGCCAGATCAAGTGAGAAGTGTTCTTAGGCTGAGAACTTCGAAGTTAAACTTATAGACTAAATATATGAACTTTTAACCAATAAATCATAACTTATAGACCCCTCAAAAATAATTACGAAAATGCCACCGCAAAAAAAATACTATAGAAACCTGGGAAAATTTTCGACGCGGTGGCATTTTCGTAATTATTATGGAGAGCTTTATAAGTTATGATTTATTGGTTATAAGTTCCTATATTTAGTCTATAAGTTTACTGCGTTGTAAGATCAGATGCAAATCCAAGGGCTGAGATTACTTCTCACTTCTCATTTTAAGGGACACTTATCACCTGTGTGTGTGTGTGTGTGTGTGTGTGTGTGTGTGTGTGTGTGTGTGTGTGTGTGTGTGTGTGTGTGTGTGTGTGTGTGTGTGTGTGTGTGTGTGTGTGTGTGTGTGTGTGTGTGTGTGTGTGTGTGTGTGTGTGTGTGTGTGTGTGTGTGTGTGTGTGTGTGTGTGTGTGTGTGTGTGTGTGTGTGTGTGTGTGTGTGTGTGTGTGTGTGTGTGTGTGTGTGTGTGTGTGTGTGTGTGTGTGTGTGTGTGTGTGTGTGTGTGTGTGTGTGTGTGTGTGTGTGTGTGTGTGTGTGTGTGTGTGTGTGTGTGTGTGTGTGTGTGTGTGTGTGTGTGTGTGTGTGTGTGTGTGTGTGTGTGTGTGTGTGTGTGTGTGTGTGTGTGTGTGTGTGTGTGTGTGTGTGTGTGTGTGTGTGTGTGTGTGTGTGTGTGTGTGTGTGTGTGTGTGTGTGTGTGCACATTCAAATTAATTCGAGAAGATAACTGCGCATTTTTGCGTTCTTGAATTAATTTGAATACGCTCCCCGATTAAAATTTTAGATGAAATTTGGTATAAGTAAACTAGACTTGATGAATAAGTTGCTCAAAAAATTTTCATAAAAAAATTCCATCGGGAACCGCCCCAAATCGCGACGACCGGACAGAGTTTACTATAGAAAGACTTAATTGACTTTTTAATGAAAGTTCGAGAACCTATTTCACAGTTTTCCCTATTTCATTTTGTCCATTCATCACCATCCAAATTGTTAGCCCTCTATTTTTTAGGTGCATTAATTACACTTTCTAATTGCTTACAGATCAAAGTCATATTTACTTTTTTTTGTGTTCTTCAATTCTATATGTATTAATTCTTTTTGCTATCACAATCACCTTTTCAAGATATTATTGAATATATTTATTTTATTTTTTATTACGTACTACTTCATTCCATTTAACCTATTTATGCACTTTTATAATTTCAATAGTGCATTTTTTATACTTCTAATTTTACATTTTTTATTTTATACATATTATATTAAATACTCGTGACTATGTCAAATTTTAAATTGTTTTAATTGTGTGCTTTGGACATATGATTTCACATTATGATATTGTGTATCGACTAAAATTAGAATTGTTTGTGCATTTTTATCCCTCGAATTGTGCATTCTTCACATGTGAAAGAATGATGCATGTACTAGTAAATATAGTGCACCGATATTCTATTAATATTGCATATTCGGTGTGTGATCCTTCGAATTGTGCATTTTGTACATATGCAAAAATTGAACACAAATATATGAGCTTAGTTGTGAAATTACAACTTCAATAAAAATGTAAGTTAAAGTGCATGTTACTGGGATGAAAAGTGTAATATAATTTTAAAAAAAGTGCATGTTAATATTTTTGATGCACTTACGCTCATACACATTGCACTTTATTGAGTTATTCATGTGGTGTGCATTATTTATTCTTGAAAGTGCATTACGATAAGCCAAAGGTGCATTTCTACACTTAAAAAAAAAGTACACTCGTAGTTGAACAAAAAAAAATTATTTTTGCTCGTATAACTTATAATGTAAGTTAAAAGTGAACAATCATAACATAAAAGTGCATCACGAATTTAGTAAAAGTGTTCATTACTATTGATAGAGCACATTAAAAATATATACCATTAAAATTCTTGAAACAAATAAATAAACTATCAAATGTGCAAATCTCTACTTTAAAGTGCATATAAAACATAAATAATAAAATTTATATATATAATATTTGGACCTAATTAATGTGATAATAATAAAATGTAATGATAAAAATGGGATAACTATTGCACTTTGAATAGTGACCGCATGCACATTAAAATTTTGGTTGTGGTACACGTCATCACCTTGTTTATTTAATTGTTGGCTCATACTAAAATATTAATACACATTTACTCAATTAGTTGGACACTCCTATTTAAATGGAGTCAATGGTACGTGATGTGCAAAATTTTAGGGATTTAACTTGAGATTGTTGCACGCCACTATTTTTTCCCTCTATGCTCTTGCTTTCATTAAATTTTGTCGTTGCTTTTAATTTGTTATATGAATTGTACAAAATTACTCAATTTGCCATTGTTATTTTGCATCGTAGGAGCCATTGGATCAAGATTATTAATGATCAAGATCTGTTCTTTTTTAACTCTTCTAAGGTGCTGTTCTGTTCGTCTTATTCTTATTACTTATTGCTTATTCTTATTTTATTCAGATCAGATCAGATCAGATCAGAAAAATTCAGATCAGATCAGATCAGATCAGAAAAATTCAGATCAGATCAGATCAGATCAGAAAGATTCAGATCAGATCAGATCAGAAAGATTCAGATCAGATCAGAAAGATTCAGATCAGATCAGACCAGATCAGAAACATTCAGATCAGATCAGAAACATTCAGATCAGATCAGAAAAGTTCAAACATGATTTATCATTTTTATTATTATATTAAATATTAATTATTATTATTAATATTGTTATTACTATTATGATTATTAGTATATAATTATTATTAATAATATTAATAATAATATGATAAAAAAAGATATTAATAATAGTTATAATATTTTAATATAATAATAGTAATATAAATGCAATTGTTAAGAAGACTATTATTATTATTATTACAATATTATAATAATAATAATATGATTAATATTATTATAATATTATATTATAATTATATGTAATTATAATATTAATTACAATTATAATTCTTATAATTATAAGTATAATCAATTGTAATTATTATAATGATATCTATAATTAATTATAAATATAATTGTAATTAATGATAATTATAATAATTATAATTATAATTACAATCATAATTATAATTATGATTATAATTATAATTATAATATAATATTATAATAATAATAATAATTATAATAATCATATTATTATTATATTATTATTAAATTACTAATTATAATAATAATCATATTATTATTATATTATTGTAATAATAATATTATTATATTATTGTAATAATAATATTAATATAATAATATCGTTATAATAATATTAATTGTATTTATATTACTATTATTAAATTATAATATTATAATTAATGTTAATATAATTATAATTATTATTAATTATAATTATAATAATTATAATTATACTTATAATTATATTATAATTATAATTTATGATTATAATTATTATTTTTATTATAATTATTAATATTATTATTATTATTATTACTATTGTAATTATTTTACGGAGTAATTATAATAATATTGATAACTATAGTTACAATTATAGAGATAAATATTGTAATTATAATTACAATTATAATTATAATTTATTTAAATTATATTTGTAATTGCAATTATAATAATTATAATTATAATTATAATTATAATTATAATTATAATTATAATTATAATTATAATTATAAATTATAATTATAATTATAATTATAATTATAATTATAATTATAATTATAATTATAATTATAATCATAGAAATATTCGAATCAGATCAGATCAGAAAGATTCAGATCAGATCAGAAGGATTCAGATCAGATCAGAAACATTCAGATCAGATCAGACCAGATCAGAAACATTCAGATCAGATCAGAAAGATTCAGATCAGATCAGATCAGATCAGAAAGATTCAGATCAGATCAGATCAGATCAGACAGATTCAGATCAGATCAGATCAGATCAGAAAAATTCAGATCAGATCAGATCAGAACTTAAAAAATTCAGATCAGAAACATTCAGATCAGGCGAAGAGAACAGCTTCTAAGAGGGTGTTCTCACAGGAACTAACCCCTATATATATATATATATACACAAATGATCCTGTCCAGACGTCCGGACAGGAACCGCCGTCCGGCCGGCGGCGTTTGGCCGCCTTCCCGGTGGAATTTTTTGATGAAATTTTTATGGCATGTTCTACATCAAGTCTAGTTTATCCACAAAAAAATTCAGCCAAAAACTCAATCGGGAAGGTCGTCAAATGATTTTTGCAAGTTAACTGGTCCGGAAAATACATATTCCGGACCAGTTAACTTGCAAAAATCATTTGACGACCTTCCCGATTGAGTTTTTGGCTGAATTTTTTTGTGGATAAACTAGACTTGATGTAGAACATGCCATAAAAATTTCATCAAAAAATTCCACCGGGAAGGCGGCCAAACGCCGCCGGCCGGACGGCGGTTCCTGTCCGGACGTCTGGACAGGATCATTTGTGTATATATATATATATATATATATATATATATAGACACACACCAACCCCTATATATATCAATTTTAATTTAAACTTAAATAATGCAACTTCAATATTTTGATTGGTCCATGTGGACAAATGTATGCCACTCTATGAGTACCATAGAATCTATCTTTCTTTAATTATTCCTCATAATTAGGAGTTGGGAAAAGCAAGCCTCGAAACTCGACCTGGCTCAGTGTAGGAATGGGCCCGGGCCTAGTCCCGAATTCAGGGGCGTATCATTTGGTAACCCAAGATGCTATTTATTACTCGTACTCCGTATTAATTTACTCATGGTCGGACAGTGGACAAGTTTTTTAATTAATGTGTACTCCTGAGAAAGCCAAAAGACACTCAAGCATTATTACTCCTTCCAATTTGACTTCACACAAAATAAGGAAAGAAATCTGACTTTACTGTAGAGTATACTGTTGAGGCACTGTTTGACACAGTTTGGCACTGTAGAGACACTGTTTGACACTGTTTTGATGTAGATTTCTTTTCCAAAAAAAAAAAGAAATAAGGAAGTGTGAAATTTATTTTAGACCGTCCCAAAAAGGAAAGTATGAAATTTATTAAAAACCGGAGTAACATTTATATCTTCTCACTTTCCTTAAATGGATGTCCCAAAATTAAATTCTCACTTCAATACTTTCCTTATTTGGCAAATTATTTACATCAAAAAAGTGATACAGTGTCAAACAGTGTTTAAACAGTGCCAAACAGTGTTTAAACAGTGCCAAACAGTGTACTCTACAGTAAAACAAATTTATTTCCTAAATATGTGGGTAGGTCAAACCGGGGGTTGTTTTCGGGACGGAGGGAGTATTTACATGATTACATCGATTGACTGTTGATCTAAGAATTAACGGTATTGAACACGAGAAATCCAAAATAGACTCAAACTGATTATTATATACTCCCTCCGTAACATATATATGTTCCCATTTGAAAAGTAGGTAGATTAAGAATAATGAAGGATGATACGGAGTATAAATTATCGAGGGTATGATGGGAAGATAGTGAAATAATGTGTTGGAATGAAGGATAAATCCAAAAAAAGTAGGTGTAATAGTGTATTATTTTTAAAATTATTGAGAGTATGATTGGAAGATTATGAAATGGGAAGATATAAATGTTACATCCAAAAAGGGAAAGTGAGAAGATATAAATGTTACGAAGGGAGTATACGGAGTAATAAGCATTGTACGTAATTTTCGGATTTTAATAAAAATCCGATCCTGACTGAGTCGACCTGAGGGAACTCACTCGACAAAATATGCACAACTTTTATTTGTCTCTTATCGATTTTAATAGACAAATAAGTTTGTATTTTAATTTAAAATGTGCAAGTGGTTAAAAACCTAAAAACTTGATTGACCCGTGAGAACCTGGTTTAGACATGGACTCGAATAACTTAAACCTAGAAAAACCCAATTTTAATTGTTTTACGGATGAGTTAATGTTTTTTTAATATTTGGAGTTAGGATGTTTTTACTTGGACTGTAATTTACTGGTCTGGTCTGGTCTGGTCTGGTCTGGTCTGATTTCTTTGTATTTTTATAACTATCCAAGTTTGGTTTGGTCTGTTCTGAACTAGTCTGGTCTGGTCTGAACTGGTCAGGGACAAATTACCGTAGAAGTAAAAACATCCTTAATCTGAAGTCTGAACTATCGCTGTTAACACTCTCTTCTCGCAATTTGAACAATTCCCAAGGATGGTATAGACGAAGTACCAAATAAACGCTGACGGTACGGTTCATATTATCGGATTAATGAGTCTAATGACAGTTGTAATAATTTATCATACTCCGTAGCAAGTAATTAATTATGACAGCTATAGCAGGCCTGTAGGGAACGGCGCGCTTAAATGCAAATCTCTTCTGCTTTGATTGACTCAACAATCGTTTCATTCTCCATCAAACTTCACTATGGAAGGGAGCAATCGTCATGCTGACCTCAGCAGTGCAGCCGCTCAGGGCAACCGCCATCCCATCGGATTGATCCCGGTAGCTCCACGCGCCGCCGCTTCCGGCGCTTCTGCCCTGCTAGAGATATCTGGCGCTTCCCCTATGTACACCCAACATAGAGGCCCAGTCAATCTCTTCGTCCCCGACGCCCAAATGCTGTTCCACGTCCTCGGAATCTGTGACCTGATAATGAACTCCACTTACGATTTTATTAGCTCATCTCCTGGCTGGCTCCCAATCGTCTCCCAGCTTTACATATCCGTGCTCTGGAATGCTATGATTCTCAAAGTCTACGTCAAATCCGGACACGGGGTTATGTTTGACCTGCCCCATCTTCAAGTCAACGAATGCATGATTCCCGGCCCACTAGTCCCATTCTTCCAGTCCCTTGCCGCGGTCAACGGCCCGTTTGACTGGATTGGTGATATTGTCCCTCATCTCCCTGACTTCTCAATTTTCTGGAATGCCCTGGGGTTCCATGTTAATAGTGACTATGCCCGCCAAGTCCCTGTTCCTGCCCTTATCCTCGACCAGCTCTACCACTTCGCCACCTGGCAGGTCCCCGAAGATAAAACTATATTCGACAGCTTTGAATGGTATGAGAACATTTTCTCACAAGACATTCGCACTCATAATTCCTTGAATCGCATGGGTCCACAACTTTGCGGGTCTCTATGGACCTCGAGTGAACAACTCGAGGTCGCGAGATGGTTTTGGAGTGCGGCTTTTGGTGATATCAGATTCAATCGGGTCGATGCAACTCGTGATCCATTCTCTAATTATCACCAACTCTTTGGATTTGTGTCACAAACTGGAACCCCGCAACACACGTGGTTCCAGGATGTGAACATGGTCATGCAAAATTAAGCCAAATACTTCAATGAATCTATCCCCCTCAAATGCATCACTCTCGGTGGTATTGGTGCTGTTGTAGTTCAAGGTCATCCGAGAAACAATGCAGCCACACGCGACTGGATTTATCCCCGGATCGATAATATTGCTCCTTTTCTCACAGGTCGTTTCAGCCCACGCCGGGCATTACCCAACGATTTTACGGTGGTATTTCAACATGCCGATCATGAGATTGAAGAACTGGCTGAACGGTATGCTATAGTGACTCACACCAACATCCAATGGCCAGGTTCTATAGCTGCTCAAAATGATTGGACTGCCATCAACAATGGGAACCTCCACGTTGGAGATTATTGGAAGATGAAAAGCCATCGGTTTTCATCGCCAAAGAGTCTTAAAGGACATTTTGCAACGATCATAGCTTCACGCTATCACCAATTGACCAGTTGCTAATCACTTCTACTAGTTTAGCATCAAACTAAAGTGTTTCAACACTCCGTTGTGCTTCTCATCACGTACAACCTTGTGGAGTTGTCGCCTTTGGATAAGTTGCATTTTTCTGCATTCATCAATGTCACTCATTAATTAATCTTGGTATAACCACTCTTTTACCCCTTAGATGAATTTTGAGATCGGCCCCGACTTGATAATTGTGCTGGTTTGAACTTGATGTTTTTCGCTTACTCATGAGTCATGAGAGCATCCAACCTATATATGTATACTAGCGTTTGGTCAAAATAATATTCTTCTTAGTGAAATATATTACTCCGTATATGTGAGGTTATTATGAGGGGTCATTCAAATAGTGTGACTCTATGAATTGCGATAGTAGCTAGTGTTAATGGCCACTTCAGCTTTCTTAGGCAGGTTGCGCCCAATAGAAGTAGAATTTAATAGCTGTATTCTACTACAGCTATAATAGTACTTGGCTTAATTTTATTTGTTTAAGATTCCTATTACACTTAGTACTATAATAGTACTAAGAGCACACTTTTTTTGTTTTATACTCCATACTATTTTGAATCATAAGCTCCTTGAAAATAAAAAAATTTGTATCCTAATTGGTACTCCAATTTGTACCCCAACCTATTTTTGTGGCTCACAAAAGCCCACCTCAATAAATGAATTGCCCTACTTTAATGATAAATAAACCTCATTAACATTCCCCTCATCTACAAATGCCACTCCCAAATATACCCTTAGGACCCTCTGTTCGGTATGACTACTGTTATTAAGTATTCAATCGTTTCCTTAAATATAAAATAAAATATTTCGGTAGAACTGAAGTTGCTTCCGTTTCCCGACAACATTGTAGAAGGAAGCGTTTTTGAAAACAAAAACGAGAATATCAATGGGAGATTTTTCTTAATATGGGCAAAACATACATTTTTTCCCAAAATAAGACCAATTAGTTTAAACATTCTTAGATAGGACTTTTTATGTATGCTTGGACAAAAGTACCCCTATCGTTGCCCCTGGACTGCTGCCTGCCGCCGCTAGAAAAATTCCCACAATTTTTCTCTGGAGGTATGCCAACATTTCTGCTGTCGGCCGCTAACGCCGCTAACGCTGCCACCGGAGTTCGCTGCCACCGCCGGAATCTGCCGCCGGAATCTGCCACTGCTGCCACCACCGGACTGCCTCCACTACCAACGGACTACCTTGGTTGTGCAAGAGAACTAGGGGGGACAACTAATTGAGTTAATTAATTGCCGGAGTTTGCCGGCTCGCTGACGTGCACTTTGTCACGGTGCGTCAAAATAAATTCATACTAGCACTTATACGTTGTGACACCGCACCCGGATGTACTTGAATTTGAAATTCGACATGTAATTTAATTTTCCTAGCGAACATAATTCGTGTAATTGATCGGCATATTTAATTAATGCACGATTAATTAAATTACATATCGGGTCCATTATATGAGAATGGGCTACCAAATATTTAGTTGGGTTATCATAATAATTATAGGGGCCCAATAAAGTGCCAATAAAAGTTGATAAAAATATTTGAACAACCCGAGTACTATTTTGGCCGAACCTACCAAAAATAGCAGGAATAATTGGGAGGGACTCCCTACACCCACTTGGGGTATTCTACACACTAATTAGGCTCAAATAATAAGGGAGGGGGACCACACAAATTTGGCTTGTGCGGATAATTGAGGGGAGAAGTCTCCTAGAGACAAACTCACACCTCATGTCCCTATTACCTCACATCAATTGAACAATTGATTGAGGAGCAATCATCCCCTCTTGCTCACTCATCTTTCGGCCAACACAAGGAGAGAAGGAGCTCCAGGAAATCCCCCTCATCAAGGTCATAGCTTGGAGGAAAGAAGCTAAGAAAATCAACAAGGAATAGTTTGAGTTCAAGGTAAGAACTCTATCATCCTTCTTTTAACTAGTATTACCATTATATGATTTTTAAGAAATCATACGATGGATTAAACATGAAGTTCTACACGTTTAAAAGTGTAGAATATGGTTATTATATGGTGGTATTTAACTTAGAAGAGTCGTGGAATCGATAGGAGTTGAAACCACCGGAAACCGCCAAGAAGAAGGAGCTGCTCGTGTTGCAGACCGACGAACATCGCCCGGCTTTTGCCAAAGCCGGCCGGCATTTGTCCAGACAGTCCAGTTCTAGCTTTTATTCGGTTTAGGACGGGGATCAATCGAAGGGCTTAACAAAGGCAACTATTCCAGCACTTCATAAGGTGAGGATGACTGACTATATTGCTTATAATCTTTGGGTTAATTTCATAAGATTACCTAAAGTAATTAAATGTGATTTTCATGGATTATTAATGATTAATAATGCCTAAATGAAAATATCATTGTTTGTGAATAGAAGATGCATAATATACAAATTTATGAGAAATTGTGTATGATGATGCATAATAAATGTGAAGGTATAATGATTGTATAAACCATGAGTTTTTGTGATAAAATATACTTTTACTTCATGTATAGAAATCATGAATGGATAAAAGTGATATTTTTGATATTGAGATTAAATCGTATACGGATTAGAAAGTCCATAGGAATGAGCCTTATAACTATGAGTTAAGGAGCTTGGGCTGTTTAAAGATTTATGGATTAGTATTTAATTTACTAATCGGGAATGTTGTATAAAAAGTGATAGAACAATCCTAAGGACTTGGATTGTGAAGGATGCACCTTAAGTAGTCTTATGAGATGCCTTAAGGTAGGAAGGGGTAACCACTAAGTTACATTAGGAGTAGGCCTCATTGGCTACTCAAGATTGAGGAACTCTAGGCATAGAATTTGCTAGTGAGTTAGTATCGTGACTAGAGGAAGCCTCTAGCACGATGAAGAATGACTGGAGGAAGCCTCCAGCATTCGTGTAGGACGAATTAGTATCGTGACTAGAGGAAGCCTCTAGCACGATGAAGAATGACTGGAGGAAGCCTCCAGCATTCGTGTAGGATGACTAGAGGAAGCCTCTAGCATAATGTAATGTGACTGGAGGAAGCCTCCAGCACAAAGTATGTAAGGTGATTAGAGGAAGCCTCTAACACCGAATTTAGTGACTAGAGTAAGCCTCTAGCACGGTAAAACATGACTAGAGGAAGCCTCTAGCATGGTGAATTAATATAGATGGGCGTGGCTTGAAGTCACGGGGAAAGGGTTGAACGTTTTTAAAGAAAAACATGGGTCTTCGGGCCGACTACTTGACTTTATATATAAAGTAAGTATATTTTCAAAGAGGGTAACCACGGGTTATGACCTATATTATATTATCACCCTATGTGAGGGTCTTGGAAATTGAAACTTTGATTATACTTAGTATAGTTGTCATTGTACTTGTCAAATGCTTCCAAGTACTGACCTCCCCTTCACGGGGGAGGCCACCTCACAGTTTCAGGTAGGACTTGAAGGTTGCTACCGCCGCCGTTGCTTCGGGGAGATTCAAGGGAGGAGACGTGGTTCGTGCTTCTTCCGTTCCTGTTTTGAAAACATTTTAAATATTGCTCATGGATACTATTTGAATATTTATTGGGGCTTGTACGCCCGTGTTTGCCACGTGTGGCATGGATATTTGTATTAACGTTTCCGCTGCTTGATTAAATATTTTGCATTATGATTGTTTATGGATGTACTATTGTGAATGATATTCATGACGCCTAGTATAGTATGGATGAGTTGAACTGCGGTTGACTATTCGTACTGTACGGCGGGTTGTTGACGTGTCCGGTAGGTCCGGGGCGTGACAATTTAATTGGTATCAGAGCCTTAGTCCGTAAACTTCATAATGAAGCTTCAAAATCCTTTTTGAAAATGATTTTGAAAACCATGAGCATAAAGTTTTGTACTTATAGAACTTTTGGTACTTGAGTTGCAAGGTCTCTAATTGTTAAGATGGTACCCTTAACAATTGGCATGGCGGCGATTTGAGCCAAGGGATGTCTTTAAGTGCCTATCCGTCATTTGACATTTGATACGGGTCTAATGACTCAACTTCTATCTCTTTCAGAAATGGAACGTACCGGTAAAGTCACTCGAAGAAACCCGACTGGCCAGGCACGGGGAGGATCCCAACATGGCAGTCGAGGGGCATCGAGGGCGTCTCGTGGGCAGGACCGTGCGGGTCACTCGTTAACGGTGAGTGACGGTCATGTGGAGACAATCGATGAACAATACGATTCCGAGGAGGATTCGACGTATCAACCGGGAACCGAGCCGGTTGAGACCCCATATGATGGGGAATATGATGATGATGATGAGAGCGACGATGATGACGCTCTAGAAAGGATGGAGGAGCTGCTCCGTCAATACCAACAGGATCGCCAAAGGCGCCGGGCAAGGCGTGCTTTGGGAGGGGCTTCCAGGGGAGGAAGCCGTGTGGGTTCTAGGGGACATGTAGAGTCCCGGAATGATCGAGGTACCGAGGTCCCGATAATAAGGATCTCAAAGTACCTCAAGGAGGCAAGAGACTTGGGGTGTAAACCGTTTGATGGAACGGGAGACATCTCCATTGCGGCCGAGTGGATCAAGAGATTCAACGAAGCGGCTCTTGACATGGAGCTGCCGCCGATCATGAAGTTGAGAGTGGCAACGAGGTTGCTAGAGGGAATGGCGTCCACGTGGTGGGACGGCGTCAAGGGGAAGTATGGTGAGGCAGTCACTTGGGAGAACTTCCGTCAAGAATTCTTTAACCAATACTACTCCGACTTCGAGGTGAACTTGAAGAGGAGGGAATACACCAACTTGACCCAAGGAGGCAAGTATACCGTGAGGCAACTCGAGCATAAGTTCAGGGAGCTTGCCGAGTTCATTCCGGAGTACATATGTGATGAGAACCGGATGGTGAGCCACTTCTGGGATGCCTTGGACCTTGACATACGCGAGAGGGCAACACAATTGCCTAATATGACGTTTAGTCAAGTTGTTGAGCAAGGCTTGAAGGGGGAGAAAGAATGGGAAGAAAGAAAGCGGAGGAATGCCGAGGAGGCAAAGAAGAGAAAATGGGAGAACCAAGGCTCCCAAGGTTCCAATAAGAAGGGGAACCACGGGGGAGGGAGCTCTTTTAGAACCCCTGCACCGCCATCGAGAGGAAACCCGGGAATGAGTGGACAACACTCGGGATCACAAGCCTCAACAGCGCCCAAATGCAAGAATTGCAAGAGAAACCACGTGGGCAAGTGTCGTG